GAAAATATATATTTTATTTGAAGAATGTATTTTTGTTTTATTTTATATTTCTTTTTTATTTACGGAAATTCTTTTTTCCCCAAATTTGAAACAAAAAAAAAAAAAAAAAAAAAAAAAAAAAAATTGTTTCCATTTCTTTTTCTCACTTCTTCGTATTATCGTAGACTTTGAAAGGCAATGCTCGTCTACGGAGAAGAAATAGAGCTCGTAAANAAAAAAAAAAAGAAAAAATTGTTTCCATTTCTTTTTCTCACTTCTTCGTATTATCGTAGACTTTGAAAGGCAATGCTCGTCTACGGAGAAGAAATAGAGCTCGTAAAAGTTCATAGACTGAGTTCTCTCATCCTGCTATATCTACTCGATCGGTGGACCAATTTGTATGCGAGTGTTCCGTATCCTCCGATAGAAAAGCCAGGACAGACTTGAGACCTCCCATGTGTGTCCGTATATACGTGTGTATAAATATACAACACATATGTGGAGAATATATATATATATATATTTTCAAGAAATATTCTAGCATTCGTTTCAAATCTCCTCACATTTTCTCCTCTTTTCACTTGCTTGCACGATTCAAATTTATTCTTTCGTTAAATTCACAGATATAATTATATATAATTAATAATTGATAATTAAATATTTTCACCGTGTTAACGAGCTAGCTCGGCTTCTTCGCTACGCTGAATAAAACAAAAATAAAAGGAGGGGTAAAAAAAGGAAAAAAAAAAAAAAGAAAAATAAAAAGCAAAATAAAGAACGTACATTTCTTTTTGCCCACAAATTCTATTCCAACTCTGGGGAATAATAAAACTGAAAATATGATGATGAATAAAAAAAAAAAAAAAAAAAAAAAAAAAAGAGAAAAAGGAGAATGGAAAGAAACGATGGTGGGAGGGGGGTGGAGGAGGGGGTGGGGGAGAGAAGGTAAAGAGATGTCACGAGATCTGGAAAGTAATTCCATGCTTGCTTGCTAGATAAATAATTAAAACACGAGGGACTGAAAAATATGGAAGAAAATTTCCATGAAAAAGTCGAAAACATACAATCACACGATACACACACACACACACAGACGCAACACGCGCACGCAGACGCCTATAATACGTAAATTACTATAATGTATGCGAGAAAACAAACTCGCCTTTATTCCTTCTTTTTTTTTTTCTTTCTTTCGGTTTTTTCTTTTTTCTTTTTTTTTACTATTTTTTTTTTACCCTTTACCTTTTACCATCCTCTCATTTCTATCACTGTCTATTTTCTTTCTTACTCCTCGCATCCAAGCTACTTCGTTATTTTATATTCATTCATTTCTTCTTTTTTGTTTTTTTTCTTCTCTTTTTTTTTTCATCCTCTCTCTCTCTCTCTTCTTTTTCTCTCGAAATCAGAGAAACTCATTTATTTTGAAAATGATACGTGTCAGAGGTTTATTTTTCCATTTCGAGAGATATTTTATAATTTTTTTATCTTGCACTTTAATATTTTTCTGAAATTTTTTTTCTGGATTCATTGTACGTTCCTGTGTTAACCCATTTTTTTGTTTTTTGTTTGTTTGTTTGTTCAAGCATACTATACAATATTCCCTAGCTATCTTTTTCTTATCTGTTATCTTCATTTGATTCATATTTTTGTTTCTTTTAGACTCGTCAAAATTAAGCCATTTCGAAAATAAATAAATCGTCTTTTTTTCTTTTCTCATTCCATCTTTTATTTTTTTCCTTCCCTTTTTCCATTCTCATTTGCCACTATTTGCTTTCTTTTTATATCTTCCTCTTCTATCGTTCTCTCTCTCGGTTTTAATCTAATATCTTTTTTTACATCAGACTAAGTAGAATTTCACGTGAAACGTAACAATCAAACACGCTACATGACCATAAACTCTTCATTAATAGTACCATTATTATCATTATCCTCATAACCTATCATTTTCTGTCTCTCTCATTCGCGGAATAGTCCTCTATTATCTCGTTTTCCTACATCTGTCCGCAAACTATCTATTATCTCGCCACAATGCCGCCATTTCCGAATCAACTGAGAAATATTATGAATAATTGTTTTCCGGGTGTGAATTTTCAATGGTTTTTCTTTTTTATTTTTCTTAAGCTAAATCTTCACTCTCTCTCTCTCTCTTTCTCTCTCTCTCTCTCTCTCTCTCTCTCTCTCTCTCTCTATCATTTTGTATCCGTCATCTTTTTTTTTATTTCCAAAATGAAATTCGAAACATTTGGAAGCAAATCTTCGCGCTTATGCATGAAATGAGAAAAAAAATATATAAAATCAATGTGTGTGTGTGCCTGTGTGTTACTTTGATCGATGAACCAATATCCGAAACTTTATTTTACGAAGAAAAGAAAAAGAAGAAGAAGAAAAAAAGAGGATCGAACGTTTATCTCATTCTTTCTCTCTCTCTCTCTCTCTCTCTCTTACTTTTTATTTGTTCGAAAATATTCATCTGGAAAGATAACGAACGTTATAAGCCCATACTTTTCCTTCTAACGATGCTTACTTTTTATTGGGTTGACCGTTCGACGATCCTTCTTTTTTTATTTTTCCTCTCGAGAGATAGTCACGATCAGTAAATTGAACTTTAATCTAGGCAAGAGAGAGAGAGAGAGCTATCGTTTATATTAAATATTTATTTTAATATCTATCCACGTCGAAAAATTGTCCTAATAACTCGGACCAATTTCATTCGTTAATATTGTACGATTTAACAAACGAGTATACTATTTATCAAATGTCATTGAGTTTTTTTAATGAAAAAGTAATTAAGACATTATATCTTTTTTAATGTTCATTTAATTATTAATGAATAAAGCTGATCAATGGGAACAGTTCTGATTGACAAAATTTCTTTCATTTTGTTATTTCAATAAAATGAAACAATTGAAAACTTTGCATTTGACTTATTTAACGAACGTGTAATCAATTAGCTTAATATAGAGTATGATAAAAACATTACTATAATATCATTTATAAGTAAATTTATTATATTGAGCATGGTTGTTAATCAAATGATTATAATATATCTGTAAAGTGTTAAATAATTATATGACAAAAATAATACTATTTTATATACATATTTCTTTTTAATCATAATATTTATACTTGTTTTTTTTTTTTTATCTCTCTTTTAATTCGTATAGACAGAATATCGATAACGTATTTATATAATAAAAAGAGAATGAAAGAGAGATATAGAAAGAGAGAGTGAGAGAGAAAGATATAGAGAGAGAAAATATTACAGGTATTGGAAAAACGTGCATATTACATAACGAAAATGACTTATTTAATATTTCCAATGTGAATTCTAATTCCAACGTTCCATTGGTGACCCAAATTAAATCGCACAACCCTGCATACTCCAGCCGTTTCCCGTTGGCGTAGTTCCAAGACTCCTGGCCGCATTATGCGATGCTAACGTACCGGATAATACCTGTGTATACTTATGTGTACATGTATACACATACCGACACCACCTATTCCTACAAACACACGTACATACATTTGTATACATTTAGATATTCGTGTATGTATGTATCCATATAGGCTGGTATGCATTTTTGTGTATGTACGTATAGTATGTATGTATGTATGTACGTATGTATGTAAACGTCGCATACTTGTTGTAAAGAGAGATGTTAAGCTATCGAAAGTGAATGGAAATGTATTTCTGAGAAGGATGTATCAAGTACGAGAGAGAGAGAGAGAGAGAGAGAGAGAGATAGAAATAGGATATTGGTTATCTACCAGGATGCAGTAAAATTTATTACTACGATTGCATATATATACAGGATGCATAAATTTGTTCTTTTATAAATATATTCCTCTTTTTTTCTTCTTTCTTTCTTCTGTAAAAGTCATGTAAAACACGCTTGAATCGACAAAAGAGACTAGCTCTCATCGAGGTTACACGAGTCAGCTGTTACCTTTTTGATAGAGAATTTTTGGCGGATATATACTTTTGGTATGATTCAAATGCTAATGCATATCGCGCTATTCGTATTTTTTTGTGTGCATTATTTTTTTCCACGTTTAGGATACTTTTAATCGTCGGAAAAAGTTTCAACGTGACCGTACTAGCAATCTCGAAATTACAAGCACGTATTTCATCTTCATTTCTCTCTCTCCCTCTCTTTATCTTTATCTTTCTATCTAACTAGTTATCTTTCTATCTTTATCTGTCTATTACGATCGTTTTTAATGGGCTCTTAATCCTTCGTCGAATGTAGGACGATTTTCCAACGAGAGAGAAATTACTCCTATATCATCGACTTGTACTACTTGACTTCCTACGTCCGATATATGCCGGACTCGATCTACTTCAAAGTAGTATATTCCGAATCATTGTCAGCCCTAATCGGATTTACTTGCAATCTATACGCGCGGAGACGGATTTTATTTATATTAATAAGAAATTTTTCATTTCCTAATTTTTATTTTATTTAAATGAAAATTTGTATATATATACCAATTAATTAATTATTAAATATTACTCTTCATTGTTAGATTATATATTATGTTTCTCAATGTACGTGCTTTATTTTTACATACAAAAATTTGATAATAATTATAATTAAATAAATGAAATAATTATATTCCGTGATTATATTAAAATAATATATTGTAATTGTTTAAATTACAAAGCCATGAGTAGCTTCATATACACACACACAACCATAATGGTTTATTAATATATTAAATAATAATTATTATTAATTAATGGTTTAAATCAATAAAAATTGTAAATTTAATAATAATAATTATTTCAATATATTACATTGATATAATTATAACGTTTAAAACACGTGTGCGTTATCTTTTAGAAAAATCATCGATCGTTAATTCGATTTCTCAGAAATACAACCAGAAACTCACCCACGCACAACACACAAGCACTCTTTACGTTCATTGAAAAGCTTTCTTGTTAATCGTACATAAAAGCCTCATTAAATAGCGATTATTTGCTAACGTCGAATGATTTTTTTCTTTCTATGTTGCAGATGGTGACGACGCAATCGGAATCTGGGACGACCGGTGCCGTTACACCAGAAGAAAGTGGAACCACATTCAGTAAATTGCGACAACTGGGTAGCGGATTAATGATGGTAACCGGAAACGGTGAGTCATTTTTAATTTGTTCTTTTCCATTATTTTCATACAAAATTTTTATTTCAATCAAATTCTTCTTTTTTAAATTTAATCTTAATGAATAGAAAAAAGAAAACAATAATAATAATAATAATAAGTAAAAATTAAATCGATAAATAAAAGTAGAAAGTAACGGAATGTTATTTATCGTTAGATTTATAATTTTTATAAAAAATTAAACATTTATTCAATTAACACATCTCTACACTGTCAATTTTATTTTTTGTAAATTATTTTCATATAAAATAATCGAGAAGAAAAATATTTTATTAATTCAAGTAACACACAATATTTTATTAAACATATATTTAAATAATTAATATTATATAATATATACTTTTTAATTTTAATATTTTGTTGTTTGTTATTAAGCAAATAGAAATTCCGAATTCTATTTTTAGATCTTATTAAAATAATTAATTTTCACGATCATTTTGAATGTAATTTGATTCAACGATCTCAAACCATGACGCACCATCTAAATAGTAAAGGGGAAAAAATAAATAGGACCAAAAAAAGGAGGTAATAAAAAAAAAAAAGGGTTCCCCTTCTCGTCAATATTCTCCCAATTTTTTTAACAACCTTCGGAATAGAAAACGAAACGAAGAGCGTTGAAATACAAGTTTGTCAGGAGCAAACACCGATTCTTGCCCACGTACTGGTTACTCAAACATCCATGGTGTTTGTCCAATTATAGTTTGAAGTGCGTTTCAGGATAAAAGCTTGAACAAGCGTATGCGATATATACAGGGTGGTCCAATAATTATTACCATCTCAAATGTATCCGTTATTATAACTACCGATAGAAAAAAAATGTTAAGAAAAAGTTTAGCTCGCGATGAAGAAGAAAATTGTTTTTTAAACAAATAAAAAATATTATCATGGGAATCTTTCTATTAATATGTTAAAATGTTCAAAAATATTTGTAAAAAATTCAAATATTGTTCTTTTTTTTTTTTTTTTTACAAAATTAAATCAAAAGTTATTAAACGGTTCGAAGAATAATTTATTTTTTATATTGCGTAAAAGTTACAAACTTTCGCTTTTAAAAATTGTAAACTTAACTGCTAAATAAAGGTAAATAAAGATTTCATAAAAAAATATGAATTAATTGTAATAATTTAATTGAAGAAGTTTCGTCTCACTTAAGGAAGTTTTGGACTGGTCTGTATTTTAATAGGAAAGGGGAACAACAACCCTTTTACCAGAGTTACTAATATTAAATTAGCAGGACGTGATTACACGTAATTAGGATGTAGACAAACACCCACGCGTATATTTCAATTCAGTTTGATCTACGTAGTCGTTGTAATCGTTCTCGTCGTCGAGGTTAAACGGACGTGACACTGACAAGTGAATCGGACGGTGATCAATTAATCGGCCAGTTAGAAGAACGGAAATGATAGAAACGCTTTCGAACGTTTGCCAACTCTTCTATTACTCTTCTATTACACTTCTTTTCTCTCTCTCTTTCTCTTCCAACTTTCATTCTTGTTCGTTAGAGTGATAAGTCATTTTGAAAAAGTGTCTATCCTTAACAAATGATACAAATTTACTTTTTCTCCTTATTTTATTTTCTCTTTTTAAATTCGAATTTTCATTTATGCAACTCTTAATTAATGTAATCGTTAATAATAGAAAGAAAAAAAAAAGTACAAGTAAACTTGTTTCAACATAAAATTGTAATCGTCGACGAATAAAATAGTAATTTTCGTTTAAATTAGAATTAACTCTTGCGTAATATGTGTTAGTTATTAATTAAAATTACGGGAGAAATATTTGGAAAAAAATTGTTTTGAAACAAAACGACGGTTAGTCATGAACGAATAAATTGTATTAATTTCGTTTCTATGAAATTCAATATCGCACACATATTTATACAGAGGTTTTTTTTTTTTTTTTTTAATAAAACGGTGGAAGAAATACTAAAACCCAAACAAAAATGTAGCTGTTGATAACGGTACGCGGTGTTCGTAAACGAACAAATTGTATTTTTTCGTTTCGTATATAATAAAATTCAGAATCACAGAACACGTTTACAAAGTTTTTATAATATCACAGTAGAAGAAATAATAAAAAATAGTTTCGGGGAACAAAATGGTGGTCGTAAGGTAGAAACTTTATTTTTCGTTTCGTTGAAATTGTGGATCCGAAACCTGGATCATAAAGATTCCAACGAAATAGTCGATAATAAAAAGAAGAAAGAAAGAAAAAAGGGAAGAAAAATTATTTAGAGGAACAAAATGGTGGTCGTAAACGTACAAGTTATTATAGTTCTTCGGCACGTCGGTAATCGAGTCGACGAAGAGGAGAAGGGTAACAATATCGTAACTTGGAGCTTTTCCCGTAGGAATAGAAGCTGAAATGTTCTAAACATTCTCGTCCTCCTAATCGCTTCGGGCTATACGAAGGCAAAACGGTTCGAGTGTTTCCGCAACGTTAAACATTCTCTCTCTCTTTTTTTCTCTCTCTCTCTCATCTTTTATTTCTTTTTCTATCTTCATGAGAAGATGAGTATAAAAATATTAGTCCATTAGGTTTCTTTAATGATAGAATTTTCCTAGACGATTTTTTTCTTTCTTTAATTGCGATCAAACACTTGGATATTAAAAAAACTACATATTTCAAATTTGTGAATTAAATAATATGATTATTTATTAACTCAATTGTAAGTGGTTAATTTTAATAATTTAATATTTGTGCGGGATAAAAGTTAATAAACGAATTCAAAAAGAAATATTTGGAAAATAATTTTGATCGTATAAATTTGGAATAAATTCCAATATTAATGTTGTTTCCTACAAAAATAAATTTCATCTCGTCGGCTCTAATTCTATTTATATTGTAAGTAAAAAAAAAAAAAAAAATAGATTGAAAATGGACATAACGATAGGAAATTTATAACGGGCGAGAAAAGAATACTGCACGAAAACTTGAATATTATTTTGTCTATGAGGAAGAAAACAAAATAGTAATAGTAGAAAGAGAAATATATAATATTATACAATATATAAAAATAAATAAAAAAAAATATATGAAAAATAAAAAAAATAACAGAAGAAGAGCTGAAGGAGGAGGAGGAGGAGGGTATAAATCCAATGGGACGAATATTGAAGCGCGTGAAAGCGCATTTGTCGGCGAGCGATTAAAAATCCTCTCAATTGCATTCGATAACGCGAATGCATTGCATATATGCGCGATGCACGTATGCATCGCCGGCAGCATTTTTTCTGTTTTTCAATCGTGACCGAGAAATTTGAATATGTAGATGTATCCACACATAACGCGTTTACGTTTCTGCTTTTACCTTTAGGCTGAATTATCAATAAACTTTCCCATTCCGTTTTATGTCTCTCTCTCTCTCTCTCTCTCTATCTCTCATTTATTAATTTTAACTTTATTCTTCGACATGTAAATTATTGTCTGTATTATAATTCAAAATTCAAATTAACTAAATCCAATTTATTACGCGGTTCTCATGATACTCATATTGTTAATAATATTATATTAAAAACAACCTGGTGAAAATAAATCATTATAAATTATTTGTGTATATAATAAAAATATAATAAATAAATACGAGAGCGCGGAGATTGAAAAAAGTTTTGTGCCTCTTGCAAATAATTAAAATTAAAATTAATTGAAGAACAAAAATTAATCAGTTTATCTCCGATAGAAAGATTATTTCTTATGTAAAGTTCAAAATCTTTCGACGAATTCATGTATTATCGTAAAATACATATATATATAATATAATACTAATAATATTCCAATAATATTCTATATAAATTAAATTAAATTAAATTAAAAATTATTTCCATATGCAATATTAAATATTATATTAATGCAATTAGGATTAGAGTGCATAGGATCCATCAAATCGATTTACGGTAAATCATTTCTCTCTATGTCTCTCTCTCCCTCTCTCTCTCTCTCTCTCTCTCTCTCTCTATTTTTCTTTATCTTTCTTTCTTTCTTTCTCGCGTGCATTTAATTCCATCTATTAATATCAACGTTTTTAATATTCTATAGGTTTATTTCATTTCTGGAGACTGTTTCATCCTTTTTCCACCCCTTTTCTCTACTCACCCCTTTATCTCCTTCTCACGCTGCACGCCCACCCGACTTTCAATCTTTCCAATTAACTCGCTTTTTTCCTTTTAGTAGTCTCTCTCTCTCTCTCTTTATAGATTTCTGTCTTTCTCTGTACATCTCTTTCTATCTATTTCGCGAACTTTGTCCGTTGCTTTCCTTGATACGACCCTTCAAGCTTGATTTTTTAAGGTAAACCAAACGTTTACTTACACAAAAACAGAAGAAGCAACTCGTTATTTTCTTTACTTTGAATACTGAAACTGTATCTCTTTTTTTCTCTCTCTCTCTCTCTCTCTCTCTCTCTCTCTCTCTATCTGTGTATCCTATTTCGTTTACAAGATTATTAATAAATTTTGTTGGTATAACTGTGCCATAATTTTTTTTTTACTGCTTTCTTTTATGCTACAGTGAATTAGAGACGTAAAAACGTGTCGAACATGCTCGAACAAATGCGAAACCAAACACGAATTGCTTCCTTTTTTCATTTTCTTCCTTTTTTCGTTTTCCTTTTGCTCGCATTTTTCTCTTTTTTTTTTTTATTTTTATAATATTTCATTTACTCGTCGATTTTTATTTTTATTTTCTTTCTTATTTTTTGTTTTTTTTTTTCTTTTCAAGCTCTTTCTCTTATTAACGAACGTGTTATGATTCACGAGATGAATTGAAGCTAGCTTCCATTTTATATTATTTTTTACAATTCACTGAAGGTTTTTAATATTCTGAAAGAAACGAAGCTTCACAGTTTTACGTGTGTATTTGTTTATGTGTAGATGTGTGTGTGTATGTATGCAATGTGTACATATTGTGAATTAAAAGTTCCAAAGTAATCCGTGCAAATCAATTACTCTCTTTACAATCTAATTCTATTTTGTTCT